CCCGATTTCGAAGGTGACATTGACGTGAATGGACCTGAAGGTAAAGTCAAAGGACCTGGCTTCAAAGGACCAAACTGGAAGTTCAAAAAGCCTGACATTAACTTACCTGATTGGAAACTCAAGAAAACGGCTGGAGCAGACTTTGATGGGCCTGATTTTGATGGACATTCTGTTGATGTAGATGTAGATACTCCAGACATGAGCGTGAAAGGCCCTTACATTGATTCAACTGACATGAGTGGTCCTGATTTTGAAGGTGATATTGATGTTGATGGACCTGAATGGAAAGTAAAGGGATCTGGCTTCAAAGGTCCAAACTGGAATTTTAAGAGACCTGACATAGGTGTACCAAACATTAATGGAAACGTGAGTGGGCCTGATACAAAGATCAGTGGCAAAGGTGATATTAGTGGACCTGATCTGGACCTTAGTGGTCCAGATTTGAATTTAAAAGGAGCCAAAGGAGATCTGAGTGGACCGAATTTGGATCTTCGAGGGCCAGACCTTGACATCAGTGGTCCTCGTTTGYCTTCAGTGAAGGCTAACGTCGACTTTCCAGATAAAGATATTAAAGGACCGGAGTTCGAGATCCCAAGGCTACAAGGTGATATTAAGGGTCCAGATGCAGGTCTCGATGGTCCAAACATCAAAGGTGATGCCAAATCAAAAAGACCAGGATCTAAAAGTCCGAGTTGGAAATTCAAAAAGCCTGATTGGCTTTCAAAGAAGAAGAGCTACGATCTACCAAATCTCGACGRAACTGATTTTGAAGTGGGCTATAACGGTCCTAACATAGAAAGCCCAAGTGCCAAAGGACCTGATTTTGAGGAAACATCTGTAGATCTAGATTTACCAGATATAAGAGGTCCCAATGTAGAGGGCAGCATCGCGGGAACACCGAACTTAAAAGGAACGTCTTTTGGAGGCGGTCTTCGTGGACCTGACTTAGATATTGGTACTCCTGGATTTAGTACGCCGAAGAGTAATGTAGATGTTGATGTGCCAAATTTTGATTCAAGTGGACCATCTGCTGAAGGTAGTTTCGGCATTGGTGGAGCATCAATTGGTTTACCAGACATTGGATTTGGTGGTCCTGATGGGGATGCAATAATAGAGATGGATGCTGGAGAACTTGAAGCTTCTGCGGGTGGCGATCTTGATGGTGATAAATTAATGCTTTCTGAGGACGAGGACGGAAACTTGATATTCTCTAAACCTAAAGTTTCATCACCAACAGCTAAGATTGTCGATGTGAAAGAAAGGCCAGTGCGCTGGAGCGCTTCCCTTGAAAGAACGGATGATCAAGGCACAACACGGAAGAGCTCATCATCAAGCAGTTCGTCCTCCTCCGATGAGAGAACGAAAGAAAACGAAGCTAAGACTCGTACAAAACGAAAGACGAAGAAATCCTCTTCTTCATCAAGCTCTGATAATGGAAAAAAGGATCACAAAGGAAAAAAGGATGACAGCTCTTCTGAAGATGAAGACAAGTCAAAAGGATTTTCATTTGGTATTAAGGTACCAGGATGGAAAAAGGACAAGGATGCTCGATCCAAGGATAAAAAGAAAAAGTCTGGAAAGTCATCATCTTCATCTGACAGCGACAGTTCGCATCATAAAAAGGAATTGAAGGTTAAAGCACCAGCTKTGGAAGGTATAATAATTCCAGAAAGAAAGAGAAAAAGCAGCTCATCCTCTTCTTCGTCTGATGAACCAAAATCATACAATCTAAACGCCAAGCAAGAAATTAAATTATCACACAAAAGCAGCASTTCTTCTAGTGAGAGTGAATCAGAACGTAAACCTAAGATGACCATTCAATTACCAAATAAACCAGATATTAGTGCTGAAGTTAGTGAGGAAATACAAGCAGAAGAGAAACCAACATTTGAGTCTGAGCCCGACTTCTCGTCCTTCACCGAACCGGACGCCGAAAATATAGTAAGCGCTTCACCGGTTGTGGACTTACAATCTCAACCAGTGTTTACTGATTCAATTGCCGGTACTGTAAGCGCTGACATCTCCCCTCAGAGAAGGGAATCACCTAAAACAACTTCGCCAATTAATCGCGAACCAACTTCACCTCATTCAGATTCAAAACTATGGGATATCGTACAAGGATATATCGATACAGATACAGTAATTGGAGATGATGGCTCCGTTAAACCAAGAAGGCCAATGGACAAAGATGAAAGATCGAAACGCTCTCGCTCCCTACCGTCAAGACCTCCCACAAAAACATTCTCTGTYGAGATTGACGATATTAACGACCCTTGGGCTAGACATTACCTAGGCGAACGAAGAGTTACAGGACCATCTAGTGTTAGTCGTCCTAAGCCAGTCGAAGCAAAGAAAGATACAACCTCTGTTAGTCCATCGATGGTATTCGCCAAAATTCCACACGTCCGAAGTCCTCTAGATGCAGGTTCAGACGTTTCAGTACGAGGAGGCGGGGCAAGTGTATCTCCACGAGACATAAAAGACGCCGAAGAAAAAAGACGGTCGCTAAAAGCGCTGGAGGGTGCTCCAACGAAACGTTTACACGATGACATGTTTCGTCTGCAAGATAAACCAGCTGAGAAGTCAAGGGATAGCAGAAAGTACTTGTGGGATATGGATTCGTCGCGGACGTCTGCCAGTGCTAAACCTAGATCGAGGTCATCTCCACCAACTACGAGCCGAGGTTTAACTCCAGTTAATGTTTCGATTTCACTTGATGGTAAACAAGCCTCGATTGAAAGAGAAGGTGGCCCGAAAGGAGAAAGAAGTAACCGTGCTCAGCAGGTGTCGAAAGATCAACGCGAAGCAGATCGAAAAAGAAGAGAAGAATTCTTCAAGGGCAACAGAGAGTCACCGGAAAAGTTATCACTTAGGGAGAGAAGAGCACTGTTTGAAAAAGATGTAAGTAGCATTCCTTTTTTTTTGTTATTGACCATGCATGCCATTACCAAATTCGTTTGCATGAGAGGAGCTTGGCTCGGCTAGAAGGGGCATACAGATAACTTTAAAAAACTTTACCTAGAGTTTACATAGCAATTCAATCTTTGTTCTTGGTGTCGATACGCATCCTCAAAGCTGCTCAAGTTATGGAAAGAGTTGTCTAAGGTTTGTCGTGGCGCGTAGGGTTAATTGACGTTAAAACTACACAAGTGTTTTCCTCTTTCATAAATCTTGTAACGCTACCACTAAGGTAAGCCGTTTAGCCGAGTCGAGTTGAAGTGTATCTCACATGTAAACACAACTTTATATTATTACATGAGCTGCCCCGTACAAGAGAGCATATTCCTTGATAACTTGATGCCATGATAACTTTTTCCAGTATTACTCATCAACATTCCTTTTTTCTCATTCAGAGCGTATGAAAGGTGACCCTGCATATATGAATTCCATAGTCAATAACGACAATATTCAAAGATGTACAGACCTACCACGTAAGAACATTGGCGTGGAAGAGAAGCACATTTAGCGCTTACAGCAAATAACAACAATCAATGGACTTAAACGCTCTGTTCGTCAACATGATAAAGAATTATCATTGTCAAAGAGAAAAGCATTACCTAAAAAATCGAACACTTAATCAAGTAGTATAAGAAAATAATTCCAGTAATCAATTTAGATATAATACATGTATTAATAAGTGAAACTTCCATAGAGATGGGTGTTTTTTGTTCAAATTTTGTTTAACCTTGGTCTGCAATCTTTTCATTATGTGGAACTGCTGTTTTTTACGATGTTTTTTTTTGTCCATGAAATTCGACGAAATAACCAAGGATGAGAAAACGTTTGTACACCATTGCAGTGTGAGAAAGAATGGGGTTAGAGAGTTCCATTTATTTTGTAGAAGATTGTGGATTTATCAATAATGCTTTTTGGTAATGCTTTTTTTGCGCGTAAACCCTCCAAACGGAAAAACAGTATTGTCCAAAAGGTTTATTAAATAACAATGATTACATGTATATTACATATTTTATCGGCAACCTCCCGAGTTATTCATAACATCATCCTAAGGAACTAAGATAGCATTTAAACTGTAGTCTGTATACATAACAAACACTCGTAAAACAGAAAATTGTTGCTTTCTTTTCATGGTTAATTAATTAGTTGCCTTCTCACCGTTTCTTAATATTTACATTTTCAAATCAGTTGTTCAGTTTCAAAGGAAAGTTTTTTCTTCTGAAAGCTTTTGTCACTCCTTTAAAATGCGCAAGCGAAATGAGGAAATTGATGAAACTGCTTATGTACTTTTAGGTACTTCAGCTCGTGAGCGTAAAAAAATTAATTTTGAAACTACTTTTAAAAAAATGAATAAATAAAAAAAAAAAAAATAAAAAAAATAAAAATCAAAGAGCATGGGCCGATGTAAGGCAAATTTAAAAAATAAAAGAAAACAATAATTTATAGGGTTTTGTAAGAGATCGCGAGTACTTTAACCTTATCATACATCATACTGTGACTTGTGTGCAACGGTATGTAGAAGGATCACTTTTTATCACACTTGTGCGCATTAACTCACTATTGCTGATCTACAAAGTGCGTCGAAAAGAGGACAGTTGAAAATAGCTCTCCCTATTTATATTCAATTCAGTCTTTACTGCATAATCATATAATGTTATTTTCTAATTTTATAGTTTACTTAGATTTGACAACGGAACTACTGTCGTTGTTGCTTGCATTTGAGAGATTGATCACTATTCAGAAAAGCTTACTTTCAAATTATCCAAAGAGCATGCATTTAATACACGTATATGTAACATCTTTGGAGAAATGTATTTTATTGCACTAATAGTAATAATTTCATTATTGTTACGCTACAAATACATATATATTATGTACAAATAAAGTTTCAGTACAACTTAATAAATGGAACAGTGCACGAGAGAGCGAGAAGAACGCGAATGGGAAACGTTTACTTCATAAGATATCTAACATTTATTTTCTTTTATAATATAATTATTAAAAATGTTTTATAGTGGTAGGTTGCGCGCACCAATCCATGAAACATAACTATTTATAACATAAAAATAGGTTATGTTACCGTAACGGACAGAATGATATTACTTGGGCTACCTCAGTATTAGTAGTCGATGAGCGCAAAGCGCAGAGTATGTCTAGTTAGTCGGGCTAGCCATAGGCTAGGCCGACTTTAGTTTTACCTTTTTGTCAATCTATGTGTCATGTCGCGTTTGGGACACCGGAAGTTCAATCCGCAACCTTCATGTCATGCGATATTCTTTCTAACCGGAAATCAGACAGCTCCAACTGGGACCCCTGTGCCATTGCGTCACACATGACGTCATAACTTTATTAAATTAGCATACGTCATATAAGTCTACCTCCGAGTCTGCGGCATATCATCGTATACTACTACT